CTGCCTTGTGCCTGTTGCTTACCAGGACAGAATCCTGCTCCTCCTCAGTGCTGAATTGCGATGAAGCTGTTAGAAAATGGATTGATGATTTAATTTGGGATGCTCCAGCATGAATAGGCATAGTCAACTCACAGGTATGTGCTCTTTTTACACTCTTGATACACTCTGGACTGTTAAAATGAATAAAAAGAGGTATTCTGACAGCTTTTACAGTTCTCCAATCCATATAAAGACCTACAATGTTCTATTTTTCCACTAATGCCAGACCATTGTCTGGACATCTCAATAGGTTAAGCATTGTAATGGTAATCCACTTTCATCTCTGAATTGCACAAAAAATATTGGCTTTAGAGATGGAGGGGATTAATTAGTATTCAGTCCATAAGCTTTCTCTACAAAGCTGGAATTCACTAGAGGAATTAGAGTGTTTAATTTAATATCAAGATGTTATTTGATGAGAACTTTAATCGTGTGAAAAAGTACAGAATCCTTTTAAAACAATGACTGTTATGGCTCATATACGACCATTATGTATTACCACGATTGAGTTCAATCAAATTAATGTAGGTGTTTTTAATGTTTCATATATCTAGACAGCATTATGTAATGCCTTGTTTTTAATAATCTACAGTACTACTGAAGCTACGTAAAAACCAAAAAGCAGAGCGAGAACAACACTAAGATCATTAAGAATACAAACAGCTCGGACAATTTCACACGTTCCATCTTGATTGATTCATTTTTTGGCACATAGATATAATGGAATTGCATCATTTATCTTTTGAAATGTCCTTGAAAAATCAAAATTCAAAGCATGTTATGTCAATGTTTTCACATACCCCTAAATTCTTTATTGTACTCTCTTTTGCCAGTGATGTATTACAAAATATGTAATAAATAGGGAATTCCAAATGCCATCATAGTTAAGGAATAGTTAAGGAATTCTGATGAGATGGAAGTGGAGCTGTGCTTATCCTTTAGAGAGGCCTACATACATTTTCCCCCTTGTTTTAGTCCAAAATTAAGTGCTTAGTGAGGCATAGACTGGTTAGTACCTTAATGAAAGACCAATAAGGAAATGGGAATTGGCTCTAAAAATGTAACTGTAGGAATGAAAGTATTGCATTTCTCCACGAGAAACAGTATACTGTATAAGTGATCTAATGATGAAAAAGGGTCTACTGCTACAAAAAAACTAGATCAAGACAAACAGTTGATCTGAAAATCAAAATGCTCTCAGATACCGATATAAAACAACCGCATGAATATACTAAGCTCATTTTATACAATTATTAATGGTGATACCTATTGAGCCATTCCAGAACTCTGCTTTATAAGACACTTTGTGCTACTGTGATACCAAGCATTTCAGTGTGACATAATACTCTAAGCAAGACCTCAATACAATAGAACTAAACCCAGCACACAGGTTGTGATTCTGATTAAATTTCAGGGGATTTTATTTGAACTTGTTGACCTTCATTTAGAATTGCAGAGACTAGCCTTGTTGGCTGTAGGCTTGTAGGCTGATGTATTTCAGTAGGAAAACACGAGAGAAAATACAAAATGTATCTCTTTGGAAAGACCTGCAGTAATTGCCTTTTAAAATTAAGTGGAACTACTGTTTCTTCTGTTTTCTACAATACATAGCTGTGTTACTGGCAAATTTTTCAGGACATTTCTTTGGTTCAGCCATCAACAGAGTGCTGCATATCTGGGAGCCAGTGAAAATTTTAAAAATTCAATGAGTAGCAATGAATTATATCACAATGAGTAGTTGTGTACATAATTAGTTCTGTACTTTTTCTTTGGCTAAAAAAATTAGTCTATGCCTCACTAAGCACATGTGTTCGATTGGCGAACACATTTAGCAATGCCCCTCGGACAATGACATGTCATTGTTTACATGTCTGCATTGTTAACATTCAAACTGTTTACTTGTTTACTTGTACATTGTCTACTGTTTGTTTGTATATTGTCTTGGTGCACTGTCTGCACTTTGTGTTTTAATAATCAAGAGACTTTCTGTAAGTAAGAATTCCATTGTACCAGTACATGGACCGGTTACATATAGCAATAAAGATCAAGTAAACTTTACAATTGAAAAAATGTGGGGAGATTAATTTTGGTAGAAGTAGTTCAGGTGGGGAGCTACGTTAGCATGCATAGGCTGCAAAGAAACATGTGAACATGCTGAAAAGAGAAGAAGGAAACACCATGAAGAAGGCTCCAGAGCCGAAACATTGTGTTTCCTTTCTTCTCTTGTCAGCATGGAATAACTTGTTCCTTAATTTCGCTATGCCACAGGTTAAGCACACATAATCTTTTCAAAGAACCAACGCTAATGATCACAGGTAAACTCCAGATTTAACGTCTCATCAGAAAGATGGCTCCTGTTATTGCATTTAGCCCTGTAACCACTGCAGGGCAATGGTTTGGAATCTGTGGCTCAAGGGTGAAGAGCATCACCTGCTGGCCATTCAGTATAGCAACAACATGACGTGCCTTTGGTATCTCACAATTAGTTGCATGCAGACATGCAGTTTTGTTCATGAGATCTAACTGTATTTTAGTGTGCCTGCAGGAGACATGTTACATGTATTCTCTTGTTCCCTAATATACAGAAAATGTCAAATGTCATATTTAAAATAAGAAAAAAGTCATATCTAGGCAAACAATAACTCTATTAAATAACTTTAATTTTATTTTTTAGGAATATGCAGTACTGGGACCTCACTTTCAAAAGTAATTCATTCTTATATAAACAGGTAAGTCCTCTTATGTTTTCTTAATTGTGACAGTTATCGTAAACCTGCCTGGTTTTTCCACATAAACAGGTGTAGCGAGAGCCCTCTAGTGATTAGCTGAAAAAAGTGCATCAGTGAAGGATGATGCCACGTGACTCATTTCATTTTTACATGTCTGAGCAAACGAAATGCTCAAAGACAGTGAGAACACTGGGGAAGTCTAATTACAAACCGAGTATGAGTCAGCTGAAACAGTACGTTACCTTCTTAAAAGAAAATTCTAGAGAATGCCCCTACCTAGGTTGTGTGTAGTACACTGCCCTAGCAAATGAAAAGGAGTACCTGTGTCTACTGTGCTCTATTACATTGAACGTATATTAGACATACAACTCATGCCTTTGTAGTAATACTTCATTGCATTTAGAGATACATTGAAAAGTTCTTGGGTTGTATGACATGACGTCGATGAGTTTACTGGATTGGTGGATGTCTTTTTGCTTTTTGGCTGTGGATTCGTATAGATGTCTTTTTGCTCTTTGTCTGAATGCCCTGAGACTTTACTGACTTATATTGGGGCTCAGTTTACTGCAAGGGTGTATGCATTTTTTGTGTGTGATGTCATCTTCCTAAAACATGTGTGAGTCTGTAAAGCACTTCAGTAGAAGACTGTCAGGAAATGGCTCTGCAAAATAATGACTAGCAGCATTTAAAATAATAATGAAAACAAGGCCTGTTGCTTCACCAGCTTAGCTGTGCTCTGCACACAGGAGTTTTATAGTTTTTCTATAGCATGAATGACTGAAACAGGGAAAGTAGCAAAAAAAAAGTCCCTTAGAACTCTACAAGGAGGTAACATCTGAGTAACCCAGGGAAACCGCCACCATATAGGCGGTTGATGATCATCAACAAATGCCTTTTTTCTAGGTACATACTTTTCAGTTGCCAAACTTATGAAGTAGAGACCAAGGTGGCTGAAACTGCAATATGAAAATATCCAGTAGGGGGAAGCATTTCCCCCAGGAAAACACAGATTCCAGAATTGTAGATTCTAGGTGGAGTAATGCAAGTATCAATTAGATGGACTGTTTTTTATCCTGGTCAAAGTACTTGAAAGGCAGCTCCTTTGAGCCATCATTGCTTACTGAGCACAAGTATCAGATTTGTTCTTTTAAGTATACACTGATGTGAAATGTAGACTGAGAGCAGAATTATTTTGTATTTTGTTGACTGCTCACCCATGTGCCAATACTAAAGCCAGGTAGCACTCAAGACTCAACCTGGATCATGTTGACTAATCTCTTTACAAGAGAGACCCTATTGAACTTGACTAATGACCCAACAGCCATCTGTCCAGCAGGCCCATAAACAAGCTCAGTTTAAAACTGAGAACTTCCACTTTACCACTCTCTCCCTCACATCCTCTCATTTCATACTAGCATATAGACAGACTGCTACCTTTCTCTCCCAAATGCTCTTATAAACCTCACAGCAAGCCCAGAGGCGTGACCAATCTCGCACGAGTCAGGCTAGCTCTCTGCCCTCATGTGGAATGTCACTCCACCTGAGTGCTAATTACTCATAAAGAGCAGCTGTGATTAATTCAGCAGGTTCAGCCATGCTGACCCCCATCAGTGCCTGTTTGCAATCCTGTAGCATGAATGATGACAGCACCCTGTCCCGTGTCTTGCTAAATATCTTGAATGTCCCACGTATGATCATGTGGCAGAATAAACTAATCTCAGTTAAATACCCCCACCTGTTATCTGTCTCAGTTCTGATTTTAGAAACTACATAGTTGGGACGGCTGATCTGAGCATCAGGTGGTTTCTGATTGTCTTCATTGTGTCTTTTTTGTAAATCTGCTTTTAGGAAGATCTAGAAAGTCTGGCAATACATTTTTTGACAATTAAATGAGTCAGCACACTTGTAGGTTATATAAACTGAGTTTTTTTTCTTTAAAGGGTGTGCTGTTAAAATGCAGGCATGACCTTTGTATAAATACATTACTCTCATACCTACAGTATAATCTCATATAGTTGGAAGTGGAATGTTTTTTTTTTTAGTTTGTATGTTTAAACATTGAATGTTTAGATTTTTATTTTTAATCACTTGACTTTACTTTCTAAAAAAAAGATTCATTTATCACTTTGTTCTGGGCAGGTTGTAATGAAAGATTCTGAATATTTACTAAAATAATAATCTTAGTTTTTAGCGAGGTAGCATTAGTGCCTCACAGCGCTGGGGCTCTGGGTTCAATTCTGGACCTGGGGTGCTGTCTGTGTGGAGTTTGTATCTTCTCCCTGTGTTCCCACGGGTTTCCTCTGGGTGCTCTGACTTCCTCCCACAGTCCAAAAATGAAGTGGTAGATTAATTGGGAGAATTGGCCCAAGGTGGGAGGGAGTGTATGTGTCTGGACTGTCATCCTATCCAGAGTGAACCCTTCAGCTTGTTGCTTGCTGGGATAAGCTCTGGCTCTCCAGTGGCCCCAGTTACAAAATGGATGGATGGATGGTTTTAAGTAGTATGTTTAGACAAGCTGTCCTGCAAATTATCATTGTATCAATTTGGCATCTTGTTAAAATTTTAGCTGTGCTTATATGCAAAGCTGCAATTTGATGTGCTGTAGATATCAAATATAGAACAATGAACTCCATATAACAATTACAGTCATAAAACAAATAACAGATACAACCATGTATTTGTTGTTTGTTGGTATACATTTTCTGGATTTGAACTACAACAATTTGAAATGGTCAGGAGCTGCAAAGCTGTCTTTAAAGGCTCGGATAACACTTCCTGCTGACACTATTCCCATCTTGTGTTGAAGGTACGGAGGATGACAGGAGCTTTGGTGGCAGTTGGCCAGGGTAGGCTCACTCTGCCTCGGCTACAGGAGCTACTAGAGGTCCAGGACTCTTTGGCCTTTCCACGGAATATGTCTGCACCTCCACAAGGTCTTTTCTTGAAGGAAGTGGAGTATGATGACTCAGGTACAGTAGATAAAGACAAGATTATAAAAGCATTCATCAAGAAGGGCGTGTCAAATCTGGTTGTTTAATGGCGGCAGCAGTATTTACAAGCAAATCCTTTCCCCAGAGGAAGTAGATATTGGTGTTGACATTTGGTTAATTAATTAAACATACTCTGCTTGGCAGGTCTTTTGACCTCTGAGGTGGATCCTGGTGTTATATTACCTCCTGACTAATAAACCCACTGCCCCAAGTATGAGTGGAAGGCTGTGTGGTCTCACTGTTGATTCTATGATTATATCAGGGGAAAAAACCTCTATTTTCTTTCAGCTGAGAAAGGATAGATACTTTATTGATCCCGTGAGGGAAATTGCAGATACAGAGATAGAAAGAATGAGAAGCACTACCCTGTGCATTTGCATCATGAGAAGAGGGTTAGGATTTACATGGGGCTGTAAATTCCAAAATCCACCCACATCTACACCAATTCTACCAAGGAAGAGTAATAAACCAAGTTCAAATGGGTGTGTAGCTGAGTGACTTTTTTTTTCTTTGCAGAATTGCTGCCACGACCACTTGACCCAGACATTGAGGCCTGATTATTCCTTTTGAAAAGGGATGTGGTGTTGCTCTTTCTAGAGTTTCTGTTCTATAACATTGTATGAAAATAAAAAGTATAAGTTAATAAAGAACCTTCTTGTTTTTGTAAAACAAATTTCAGATTTACTTTTGTGCCTGCCTGTATATACTCGTATATACAATACATAACACGCATGAGTAAAGCACTATATTTCTTCCTTTTGTTTCAGTCCTGCTTTCTTGTCCGCAGTGCAGTCCAGAATGGATAAATATCAGATGAGAAAAGACAGTGGAAAAAATGAAACGTAGATTGAAATAACAAAAATCTCAAAACAAATGAAAACCAGACTACAGTACATCTAGTTTACATAGAGGGGAAGTACAATATTTATAATTACACCCACAAACGTAGAGCCCATGATGTGTTATAAAGGTTCAGAATAATAGTGCACCGGATGACAACATGAGGTATTTCAAACCCACTATTGCACAAACGAGACTGATCATACGCATATATATATATACTATACTGAGAGGCTTTAAAAAAGTAACAAACAAGGATTGGATTGCATTTAATTGTATCTGTCACATTTTTCATGTTTCTCAGTAAGTATATACTGTATACACACTGTACATACTGTATAAGAGCAATTATGTGCTTTAGAGTTTAGAGAGAAATAAAACCTAGCCAGTAGATTGGTGGATGTCTTTTTGCTTTTTGGCTGTGGATTCATATAGATGTCTTTTTGCTCTTTGTCTGAATGCCCTGAGACGTTACTGACTTATATTGGAGAAATAAAAGCTAGCCAGTTGACAGTACAAATGAAAACTGAAAGTTCGGCACTCTGTAAGGATCTGAAACTGTTTTCCTCGTGATATGTGTCTATGCTGAGAAGTAAACAAGTTCTGCACAAATCACAGGGCTGCTACTCGGTGGATGCAGTAATGAATGTTCTGATCCAATTTGCGCGTTCTGAAATGTTCAGAACCTTATCTGTGCGATTTGTAGCAGCCGCCAAAAAAAAGATAAGGTCTTGGCAATGCCTTTTTTACAGTTTCTTCATGGAGGGCCCCATTCTTTGTGCTGTTTCCCTACTGTATATGGAGTGGGAAATAACAGTACCTAATTAATTTGGTTTCCAGACAAACTTTGTCACCAGTTTATGCAGCTACTGTAGATAATGAAGTGGAAAAATCATCATCTTAAAGGTTACAGCATACCTACCTGGCATTTCAGACCATCTTCATTTTATCAGGAGCACAGAGCGCCAGCAGCTACTCCAGCTGTGCTATTGTGTTGCTAATTATGACAGGGCTGTAGTCCAGAACCTAAACCCAATCCCTGCTGTTGTCTCCACAGATTATTTCTGCTTGATGAGAAGATAGTCACTTCCATACAAGTGACTGAACCTACACTCACAAGAGGTGCTGATGTAAAGTTTGTGGGGTTTAAGCCTCCGTTAAAAAGGGAGCTGAAAGGGTATTTTTATATTTAGGGGTTAGAAAGAATCAGCATTGATGAGCTCATCTCAAACCACAATGAAAGTACAAATACACAGTAATGTGTAAAACCTCCAATTTACATCACACAACAGACTAAAGTTCCAAGTATTCTGCGATTCAGGCAACAAAACATCCGGTGAGGTGAAGTGGCCCCTGTTACATTGTAAACAAGCAGGCTTGTGAAAACACCTCTTTTAATCCAATAGAAATATTGCTCTCGATATCGAGAGCAAATACAACTTTGCTGACAAATACAACTCAGGTGAGTAGCTGCGTCAGGATGCGTGGCTGCAAAGGAACAACAACCGAAACGTTGCGTTTTCTTTCTTCTCTTTTCAGCATGGAATAAACCTGTTAACTTGTTACTTGTGAATTCTGCATGCAGATCACGTTGGAACATTTCTGTGGCGAAGTGTCTGTTGCACAGCCTGTACTTATTCGCTCGTATGTCACAGTACACTAGTCATCACAGGGACTAGTGAGCAGGAAGGGCCGTTTCCCGTCGCAATTCGCACGAACTCTCCCTCTTTCCCGTGCCGAGACCAGGGGATTCCAACAACACAGCGACCTACAGTACTTTCACGAAGTGCACGATTCCGTGCTTAATTTGAAATCTGTTCATTTTTTTTACCGCAGGAGAAAATGAACTTATCTTGTTACAGCGATTTAATAACCAGTCTGCGAAACTGGGACTGCAGTTCCTCTTTAAAACAGAAGTCGTCCCACTTTACAAAACCATCTTTAAGGGAGTGAAACGTTTGATATTGAGGGTAAAATAGCAGATAGTTGGCCTTTGCTGGCACACCAGTGCTGTTAACTGTAGGCCCACTCGAATTAAATGTCCCAAGTTTAGAGTTAACTGTCAAAACAGCTCCTGAACAACTGTTAGTAGCATACTCTCTTAGTATTGACAATGAACAAAATAAAATGGCAGTTAGATGATGATCTTAGGTTATAGAGGATCTGCATATTAATACATATTCTTCCTATATTGGCACTAGAATTACACTTCTATGAATTGGCTTCATTACTCTGCTCTCCTCCCCACTGAGAGCTGGTGTGTGGGGAGCGTTCTGGTGCACTATGGCTGCCGTTGCATCATCCAGGTGGGGCTGCACATTGGTGGTGGTGGAGGGGAGTCCCCATTACCTGTAAAGCGCTTTGAGTGGAGTGTCCAGAAAAGCACTATATAAATGTAAGCAATTATAATTATTATAATCACTTACAAGCTTTTGAGCAGGAGTAGTTTGTGGTACAGGCAACATTTTGCAAACCCTATGATAACTCCAACATCAGCTGATACCAACCTTTTGGGTGCGAATCTGAAACTGGTTTTGTTAATGATTCATATCTGCCCGGTTTCAATTGGTAAAAAGCTTTTTTACGAAGAAGATCTCATTTAAAAAAAAAATATATGTTTGTCAGGCCAACAGTGTGATTGACACAGGACCACAGTGTTGGTTGCAAGTTAAATGGCTTAAATCTGTCCAGTATGTAGCTGCCTATCCGGTTTTCATCCATGGCCAGCTTCTAAAATGGAATCAACCCAAAAATCGTTACAATCAATATCAATTTCCTTTAAATCCTTACAGTCACTTCAAGGCTTGGAGGCCTAAATCATAGTACTGTAGTATTAAATGAGAAAGTCTGTCTCACTTAACAGCATCAAACAACACTTCCATTTATTAGTAAAAAAAGTACAGTACGCTTACTACAGTACATGACTGAGCCCATTGGTAAGGGTGGGTTGATATTTAAGTAATTAAATCTGATTCTGATTGCACCAGATTCACCTCACAGTCGCACCCCCCTGGGGTGCTCTGTTAGCTCAGCGAGGTCTGCAAAGGTGAAGGTAGGAGTGATTGACTAAGACAGTTTCTTCCATTACAGTCAAAACGGTTTCCGAAGTGCAAAAGACACTTACGGTCGTCCGACTGTTCTTTGGTTGAGTGTCAGTTTAGAGTGTGGGTGGCCTTTATGGTAAACGAAACACATGTACAAAAATAGACCAAACAAAAGGCAGGTAGAGTAGGTGGATGTAAATATCCCACACTTCTCTGCTGGCTTCCTGTGGTTTCGCATGTCTGCACACAAGCAGCACGGCTTCAAGGCTGAGCTCTTTCCAGAGAGGCGGTAGCAACGGGGTCTGAATGGAAGGGGAAAGTGAGAAGAAGCCAGAAGAAACGTGACCTGAGGCATTCTGGGACGGCGTTTTGTCACCGAAGTCACAGCACGGGTCTTCATCCTGTGGTCGGCTGCTAGTCGCCGTGAGCCTTCGTCGATGCCATTCATCCCCTGTAAGTACCAGTGTTTAAAGACCTTATCTACAGCGCGAACACTCAAATGCGAGATACCAGTCTCGGGACAGTGGCTGCAGGAACCTCGCTGTCATGTTCAAAGTTTCAAGTGGAACAAGCCGAGAGGAGCGATTCGCTCCGGGAGCTGAAGGAATTTAAACATACTTTCTAGGACATCGCATACCATTGGACTCGTACCTGTGGTGTACCGTCGTTGCCAACATTACTGAAACCTGGAAAATCGTTGACACTTCAGATTAGGAGTATGCAAATTCCATCGGTAGCCTATCATAGGATAACGACATGTTAATAGTGTTAATAACCCAGTAGGAGTAACTGGTTCATACTAATGAGTAATTACATTTCTTGACAAAACTCAGACTGTTTTTGTGCTTTATTAATTGGACATCCACGTTAATGCTGTAGCTTGTTTTATATACAAATTGTCATGTGCAAATTCTGAAATTAAACCAAAATGACACTAGTAATTTAATAACACAGCTCTCCGTAGGAGTGCATACAGGTCATACTAAAAATACCCCCAGGTGTGACTAGAATAGTGCTTCAGGAGACGGATACATTTTGCTATTATATATTAATATATCTCAGAAATCTGGTCATTCTTATTGAGAAAATGTATGTCTATTCATTTGTAATGAAGAATTTAAACCCAGAAATACCTTCACTCTTGCAGGCAGTATTAGGCATTTACTTTTTATGCACCCCCTTCCACAAAATGATGCACAAGTTTACCTTTACGGTTTTACACACTGTTTTCATTAAGAGTGGAAAAACATTAGGGTTCAAGATCTAGAAAACAAGCCTTGTCAGCTAAAACTATAATGAAACTATTGACCGTTGGTTCAGATATATCCATTTCTCAATTTATAAAGATCTTGTTAATTAATTTTTGGTAGTACTGTACAAAGCTGGGATTTTTATGCCTGTTTTTTGCAGTATGTTGCAGGGAATATCCTTCACAACTGATTGGAAAATGTCATTCTTATACCGTACTTCCTACAACACAGTCCAATGTGTCTGCATTCTTAGTATTTGAACACAGTTTGTTATTTCCATTTATCTAGTTTACTCCTGTACTAGGTGTTCCTACTTTGACAATGCGGTGCCCTGTTACGGTAAAAAAAAAGTAATATATATCTATGTCTGAATCTTAAATGCCTTTGTCCATTAATGTTAACTTAGACTACTGGCAAAGCAAGTCAGAAACTTTCTACCAAACAGGCTGCTCTCAAATCAGGTTGTAAAAATGAAATTCAGAACAGGTTTCAGAGTTCCAGTCAAAGTCTGAACGTTTTGACAGAAAAAGAGACTCAAAACACACGAGTGTGCTTCCTGCGGAACATATCCCAGGAACACTTTATATCAGTTGCGTACATTTTTCTTTAATGGGTTTAAATATTTCTATCAGTCTTGTTAGGTTGCCATTTACCATGAAGGAATATTTTGTATTTCTGTTTTATGTATGTTTTTTACATTTCATTTTTTGTTCATAAGAAGTGAAACTTTACAAAAAATAAAAAGCAAAAAGCAAAATGTTTAAATAAGTTTCTGTTTAAAAGCATCTGGACCTGGATTCAGCATAGGTCGTTACAAAGCAGTTATTCTTATCTATATGTGTAATCCAATTACTATGTAATTATATATAGCTATTATACTGATTCAGGCATTCCCCTGTCAAAGGTTAATTACATTCAAGAAATGCCAAATACAATATATTTAAGAAAAAATGATTTGGGTCACTTTTTTGTTTCTTTGTTTTTAAATCATGGAATGTTTGCACCCCTTTCAGTCTTCCCACTGATGAACAATTAAAGGAAAATAATGAGCTGAATACCTACAAGAGAGGAGGAAATCCAATAACACTCTTCAAAGGAAAGAAGCCAATCTCTCAACCTCTCCACTGTATTAATCAAACAAATATTCGAGACTTGGAGAAGCAGCACAGTGGCCCTGTACAACTGTGATACTTCCGACTTTAGTTGTAAAAAAAAGTGAGCCAAACAATCAATGTAAATTTAATTTACTAATTATTTTTGTCTCTGTTCTATCTCAGGCCATTGCTTTGGAAATCCAAGAAACCGCACCAAAATAGCATTCATCTTCAATAAAGAGGCTCGATTGCCGGCAGAACCTTATAAAAAAAACATAGTGCTTCTACTCTGAAATTAGACGTAATCTTGAATTTCCCTTCACCCAAGAGCCTTGGAGCTGTGAAAGCAAAGCCATGCCTGAGCCCGGAAATGTGTCGTGCAACCCAACTGCGGATTTCCAGATCTACCTCTTCCCTGTCGTCTACTCCCTGGTATTTGTGTTCGGGCTGATGGCCAATCTGGTCGCTCTCTACATATTCGTCTTCAAAATCCGCAACCGCTCCTGCTCAGATGTTTACATCATCAATCTGGCGGCGGTGGACGCCATATTCGTGTGCATCCTGCCCTGCCGGATTCACTACCACCTGAACCAGAACCGCTGGGTCTTTGGGGAGCTGGCCTGCCGCATCACCGGGACCTTGTATTTTACCAACATCTACGTCAGCATCGCGTTCCTGACCTGCATCTGCGTCGACCGCTACGTTGCGACCGTTCACCCCCACACGTACCTGAGGCTCAGGAAGACGTGGTACACCCTGCTGGTCAGTTCTTTCGTCTGGGCAGCGGCCATCACCACGATGTCCTGCCTCGTGCTGAGCGGGCCGGGGGACGTTGGCATGGGGCACAACGGCAGCTGCTTCGAGAACTTCTCCGAGGACGCCTGGGAGACCCGCATGACCGCCTACAACGTCTGCGCCCTGGTTTTCGGGTCGGTGATCCCCTTCGCCGTCATCATGGTCTGCTACCCGCTGGTGGCCCGCCGCATCGCCCGGATCAGGACGGCCACCAGCCGCCGGGCCCTGCGGGTTATCTACGCCATCCTCGCCATCGCGCTCATCTGCTTCCTTCCCCACCACGTCACGCACCTCCTGCACCTGCTGGTGAGGAGGAACGTCATCCAGGACTGCGGCCTCTCGGACGCCATCTTCAAGATGCGCCGGGTGACCATGGCCGTGCTGAGCTGCAACAGCTGCCTGGACCCCATTGTCTACTACTTTTCCACCCCCAAGTGCAAGTGGAGCTTCGTCAAGTGGTTCAGGCCTTCGAGAGCGCGGAGAGTCTACACCATCTACAGAGTAGACTGACAGCTGCCTCGGCACACAGACCGCACACAGGCTGGGACCAGCTCTCCTCCTGCTGCACGGCTGGATCCGGTATTGCACCCCGATGCATGGTTCACATAGAGATGGCACCATGGCCTGCAGCCACATCTGTGTGAGTCAGAGTAACGACAAAGCGCATTCTACAGTGATGTAACTTACACAACCTGCCTTTCTTTGCAACAGTTATGCCAAATATACCAAGATCTTTCAGGAGATCTTCAGTTACATGCGGACTTCTGTCCATTTTTGTTGTGATTTTAGCTGTGCATCCAGAGCAAATGTTAGTAGAAGCAGCGAAGGACACCTGAAAACACGGAACCATCTGCTCAAATGGCACAGAACTGAATTAAATACACTGAATGAGGCCTTGTATAGTTTTCTTGCACTTGGATGAAGATCTCGGAACACGCCATGAACTGGAGGTTTGCTCTACAGTAAAAAAGCTAAAAAAATTCAACCAAGACATATTGTTCGAACTTTTCCATCATAGTGATGGTTATTTTGTTAACTACTGCATGCGTGTTCTTAATGTAGTTATCATTTGGGGATCCCTTAAAAAAAAATAAAAAAGCAGCAGGCAAAATTATTGTCAGAAATGTTCTATTATTTCCATACATCTGTATTAATAATATTATAATTTCCATACACTACACTGTTATAACCAGACAATTTTAAATTAAGAGGAGAGAACTATTGTAACAGTTACCCTCAACAGAATCCTCTAATTTGGTGCAGTTGAATTAAACGTTAAAATATTCTTAAATCCATATCGTCAGAGATTTTATAGGTTTGTGTATACATAGATTTATTAACATTATTAATGTTTCATACATTAAAGCTGAACAACAGCCTTTAATTTTCACTTTTTTATCTCCTTAAGTTTCTATATACAGTAGATTTGGACTATTTGGGTGTATAATATTAGATTTTAGATATTTTTATGATATATTGCCCTAAAACCAATAACGTGGTCTCTTTTTCAAAAAGAACTTTGTTATGGGTTTCTGTCCAAATTAATTCAAGCACACATCAAGATACAGGTAAGAACAGGGAACAGAACAGCAGGTTAAAGACAAATAAAGGACTGAGAAGCAGGATTTCTTTTTTGTTTGAAGTGGTGACAGCTTGTGAAAATGTGGGATAGTATTAAGAGGTTAAAAATCCAATGCATTTCTTACTTTACTATTGATAATATTATAATAAACATAAACACTATTTCATTATCTTAACATATTAACATATGCCAGGTCTAGTCAGGAGTAGCGAGTCTATTTTTAATAGTAAAACGTTATACATTGAAATGAATCCCTCCACTGGGCACCAAGACACTGAAGGCCAACCAGATCTTAAAGGTTCACTCCTGATATTGAAAATGTCAAACTTTTTATATAAAGAGCAGCTGAAAGCTTTTGGGAGCTGTAGGGTTGCAGAGCCAAACCTCAGACGCTATTTGTTTTGTTTTTATTTTTTAAATATTTTGCTGGAAGTGAAATCTATTTCATGTAAAGTAAGACGCACATATAAGGAAGTGTGCCACTGGTTTTACATCACTACCCATCCAGACCCAACTCAATGCACAGCCTTCAGACAGTTATTAGTTTGGGTGAATTCTTCAACTTCACCTACAAAAGACATCCAAACATTTGGAAGCTTTGGATGACATGTATCTTATCCATGAACGAGTTCAGTGAGAGGATACCAACTGGGACATCGTTTGAATGAGTGAAATGAAAATATAATGACACTAACTGTTGGAATATGTTCAATTGAATATAAACTAAAAGGAACTGAAACTGACCAGCTGAGGCTTGGTTAAGCTTTCACCACGAGGCTCTGGAATCTGTGAAAGTTTCCCAGAAGGAAAAGCCCCTCATTTTCTAGACACAACACCTAGACATTGCCCTCCCTCCCTCCCAGAGCACCACAGTACTTACTCGCACTGCTTGTGAAGAAAGCACACAATTCTTTCATAAAGTAATGAATTACCACTATGAAAGCACAACTGTCAAGCCACCGTCTTTAGCAAACGACAACAGCTCACGTTAGTTATGAACAGGAAGCCCCTCACTTCACAATGCAAGAAAATCACTGCCTAACCTGTTCAGCCATCACCTGCTAGTGTGAATTTCCATATGGGTGTCAAGGGCCACTATTATAGTTCAGATAAACAGCACTGTCTTTGGCTTTAATATCACAACAACGTAGTATATCCAAGTGTACAGTCATGGGGATTGTAGCTACAGTATGAGCAGAGATGTGAAAAAACACAAATGTCTGTTCCAGCTTGGGTGGGTACAGCATAAATAACTGGTGGCAGGATGTCAAAAAAGGTTATTTCAAACCTTTTTTAAGATAGTAAATCATAAGCACTCTTTTCTGATATGCCAGCAGCCATATCACCTTACAATTCACAACCGGTAGCCCCACTGAAGCTCAGCAGGTGTGAGCCTGGTCAGTACCTGGATGGGAGACCTCCTGGGAAAAACTAAGGTTGCTGCTGGAAGAGGTGTCAGTGGGGCCAGCAAGGGGGCGCTCACCCTGCGGTCCATGTGGGTCCTAATGCCCCAGTATAGTGACGGGGACATGAGATTGCAAAAAGGCGCCGTCCTTCAGATGAGATGTAAAACTGAGGTCCTGACTCTCCCTGGTCATTAAAAATTCTAGGGCATTTCTCAAAAAGAGGAGGGGTGTAACCCCGGTGTCCTGGCCAAATTTCCCACCGGCCTTAACAATCATGGCCTCCTAATAATCCCCATCTCTGAACTGGCTTCATCACTCTGCTCTCCTCCCCACTGAGAGCTGGTGTGTGGGGAGGGTACTGGTGCACTCTGGCTGCTGTCACATCATCCAGGGGGGGCTGCACACTGGTGGCGGTGGAGGGGATCCCCATTACCTGTAAAGGGCTTGAGTAGAGTGTCCAGAAAAGCGCTATATAATTATAAAGAACTATTATGAATTATGGAACAAGTAATAGGTTTATTCCATGCTGAAAAAAAGAAGAAAGAGAACACAACGTTTCGGCCGTGGAGCCTTCTTCAGGTGTCAAATAATATAATAATATTATGAATTATTATTTTCAAATTGCCAGGCTTCAGTTGGAGTGCGGGGGGGGCTGAGCTCCTGGGATATCCTTTGCATCTGCAGAAGAAACGACAACTAAGACTGGTTACGCTAGAGTTTAAAAAAGAAGGTTCTCTAGCAGCTGAATTGACATCCGGAAGAGCAGACCACTGGTGACACAAACCACCCACTAACACACATCCATTGTTAAAATTAGAAAAAGAGCTGTGGCCAGCACAGAGCATATGTCAAAGAGAAACTACTGTCAGTTCTAGGTCACAGGTTGTTCTGCAATGCATACTTTTCCAAATTAGTCCATTTGTTTTTTTTGTTGTTTTCATGATTGTTTAATTGTTTTTTCAATTCACGAAGAACAGCACAGCAATAAGAAAGCATGTTTAAGAAAGAGTCACCTTCATACATCAATGGCAAGACTGCCCTTTCGGAGAACTGAGGTATTAGACCTGCACTGACCGACATAAAATTTGGCTGGGACAAAAGCAACAATATTACCCAATGTCTGCACATCAACCTCACAGTGAAGAACAATGACCACAACTGACTCCTACAGCTTAATAGGCTTCTGGCAATATTTTAATAGCCTTCTTAGCAAAATTGCACTTACCCCAAACAGCTATTTATTTACAAGTTTCATGTCATTTGCCAAACCGCTTTATACCATACGGTGTCTCGGACAGCCGGAGCCTGCCTGGCCAGCAACGAGCGCAAGGCAGGGTACACCCTGGACAGGACGCCAGTCCATCGCAGGGCAAGTATAAGCTGACTGTACATGGGGGACAATTTGAAGGCTACGGTAAAGGTCGAGGGGGGAATTTTGGCCCAGACACCGGGATAACTCCCTACTCTTATCGAGAAATGCCCGGGGATCTTTGATGACCACTGAGAGTCAGGACCTCGGTTTAACGTCTCATCCGAAAGACGGAGCCCACTACAGTATAGCGTCCCCACCACTATACTGGGGTATTAGGACCCACACAGACCGTAGGGTGAGCACCCCCCGCTGGTCCCACTAACACCACTTCCAGCATAGCTTCCCAGGAGGTCTCCCATCCAGGTACTGACCAGGCTCAACCCTGCTGAGCTTCATTGGGCTGCCAGTTGAGAGCTGCAGGGTGATATGGCTGCTGGCTTAACAAGTTTCATATACGGACGATATTACTTCAAATGCAGCTTAGAACAAGGAGGAAACAAAGAGCAATTCATTTGATTTCTTTTTTTATTGAAAAACAATGACCTTCTCACTACAAACACACGTCACACATCCAAGACAAGAGCAAATAACAACGTTTCATTCTCTCAGCTGCATCCTTGAGGAAGTCCTTTGCGCAGTAATGTTGACAAATAGCTGCCCAGATCTTCATCCTAACAGGAAAAAAAAAAGGTGAGAATGTACAGGCTTTCAAAAAAGTTTAAACGTACAGAAAATAAGATTGCCCTACTTCTTTCCTGAAAAAAAAAACAAACTTCTATGAACATTATATTTACACATTTTTAACTACAGCTATTTTATATGAATTTGTAACTGCATATTTTAGAGAAAAGCTAAATCAATTCAAAGAAAAAGATGAAAATCTTAGACACTCCTCCAAACTAGTGGAGCATGGTACAGACCTGGACCGTCATTTTAAGTTTGATGTTTGAGTTTTCAGCTTAATCCTGTCATCTGTCTCTGAGCCATCCACATGCTCTACTTATTGACAGAGAAGACTGAGATGTTTACATATTTTTTTAATAAAAAAAAAATGAACCAATTAATGTCGGTTCATTCATCCAACAATTTAAAAAATGTCAACTTTGGAAAAGAGTCAGGTAATTGTATAAATGGCTTGAAACGGGTAGAATCAGCTTGTTGTGTCTCTTTCCTATATATCATCACCAAAACCAAACTATGCATTGGTGTGAAAGCTGCTACCTCTGAAAACAGCATTCTCTCTCACATTGGAAGTCAGAAACCATGCTCAAAGAGTGTTGAAAGGTGCATACATCAGGCACACAGTCAATCTTATCACATCAACTGTGCTCGTCTGTCTGCAGTGGATACATTTAATCATTATTAGTCACTGAGCCCCCCGTAGATGTATCCACCCTCACAATTTCCAACTGGCTAGCCGGGGACTTTCTCCCCTTTCTGCTACAGTGGGGCACTGTCAACCCCAGCATGTTTTTTCCTAACACCTTGGTGGTTTTCACTCTTCGTGTGCCCACCGGCAGGAAATGACAAACAGACTAAGGTGACAAGACGGCAGTCTCGGTACAGGAGGTATTTACTGGACAGATATAGTTTTGCATTAGTAACATACATTTAAAACCCAGTTGCCGTGAGCCAGTTTCTTGTCCTAAACCAGCTGTGTCCCAGTCAGGATGAAGACTATTACAGAACCTGCAGAAACTCTGCAGTGAGGGTCTGGAACTCCAGCAAACTTCACTGGACACCTGGGGGAAGGGCTCCTGGGTTGAAAATTCACTGAAGTGACTTCAATAAAATTCTGCTTTACAAGCGTAAAGTTAGATTGAGATAAATGTATCACTTCTAATGGGAATTTCATACCTATGTGTGATGGTAATGGGAAATAGACTAATTCTTTAATGAGAGAAGACATGAACAGAATTCTTGCAAAAGACAAAATCTGATGGACTGTTCTACAAAGCTAGACTATTGTAGTCTGATTTATGTAACTATTATGCTTTCAGACAGTTCAACAAATTCAGAGCTGTCAGTCATAAATCTGACAACCTGTCAATAAGATACTCAAGATCAATTTTGAAACTGCTTTGCAACCTGTTATTTTTGCCTCTTAGAAATGTTTTGCAAGTCATACCATGATTATGGTGAATATCTGCCATCATGTCTTGAAGGACTACAGTCATTGATATTTCGAAATATTTTTAAAAAGTAAAAAAAAACATTGATAGATGAGATTGAAATTAATGCAGAGATGGGGATGAATCCAATTCAAGTTTCACACGTATAACAATAACCCCAGAATTGAATGAATATAACCAAATACACTCATAAAAAGGATAGTTTAGGGGGTCAATTCCTTATGTATGTGAAATTACTGAAAAAGTTCTAAATCCTCTCAAAATTGATCAGTGAAACCAGTGATTCTGTCAACAAGGAACATGTCATGGTTTGGAAAAGAAAAAATAATCATAGCATTACTAGTTCACAGCTTCAATTTTTTTGTTCAATTGTCTTTAATTGTCAAGTAAGTCTGGTGGTTATTTTTATTTTTCAACATATTTATTAAACTGGCAACACTGCTCTTCTAAAATGAAATGCTTCATATGTGAGTGAGTCTACTGGAATACTCATTTGAAGTAGTTATGTTTTTGGGGGGTGCTGGCTGCCCAGTATACATTCAGTATGCATTAATCTACAAAAGGCTGGGAAAGACTAATCAGTTAGCTGGTGTTTTACACATGGTATCGATAAACTACATAACTGTTACTTGCGTCTTTAAGTAGAATAAACTGAATCTCCGTCATTTAATGTTTGCAGTTAACAGAAATGTGAGATGTTAACATTAGAAATACAGATACTATCTGAAACTGAATTAATTTATGGACGAACTGCATCTTGAAAGAGAAAATTCTACCAGTGTAACTGTGACATTTAATTAAATATCCTGTTTTCGGCGCTTAAAGGCTGCAGGAAAGAGCATAAACCAAGATAAGTAAGACACTGTGCAAGATCACACAAAAAAAACCATGAAAAATTCAGTTTGATTAACCACAGCATGCAAAAGCCCATTTCAGCTCAGTCTGATTTAACAGAGAAATAAAAGTAAAACCACAAATACAACAGCGTCCAGTGCAGTACAGACGACATCTTCAGGTGCTTGTGGTTTGAAATGTGTCGTGGTGCGCAGTGATGGTGATAGCAATTGTTTCGGGGTGCAAAACAGTGAAACTACTCCACTGTTCATGAATTAGGCAGTTTTAATCATAGTGAGCATCCACTTCTATTTTCTATACATGCACCACGTGATTTTACTTCTGATTTGATCTGTATTTCCCATGAACACTATTACAGAAAAAAGAGCTACTGTGCAGACTCACCAAGGAGTCAACTTAATGTTGCACACTGTGCTGAGGTGTTCAATACACAGTGCCCTACACGCTGTCAAACCCTGAAGTGATTACCCACCTACTGTGACTTCCTCCATCTGTTGCTGCAAGAGCAACTTCAGAGCCATTTTGCTTTCAAAGTGTATTTATTTGTAAAGATGACTGAACGCAGAAGCTGAACGGGCTACTGGGGATTCAGTTAGAAAATAAGCAATGTTGCTTTCACACTAACAGACTGGTGGACCACCAGGAGCTTTGCATGGTTCAAATTTAAGCATGACAGTGGATCCAGAGATGTCGGTCACAACTTAATTTAAAGTTAAAATAAGGGAATTCACAATTTCTTTCAGCGGGAAGTGTGAAACATTTAATTTTGAGTTTTCAGAACTTGCATCCTAAAATGAGAACTGCATTTTTTCTATTCACTTTTCCATCGTGCTAAAATTATGTGCGCTGTAGATAGTTGGGTTTAATTCAGCTTTCACAGAACAGCATAACTACATTTCTTTACTTTCACTTAATCCATCTGCGTGACGTGCATTTTTCACATCTGCACTACTTAAAACAGCAGTTTACAGTTTACTCTGCATTGCAATAAAACGCATCATCCAGTCTGTCCAAGTATTATGTTTTTGCTCCTATTTCAATGGGAGTATGCATAAATCTGGAGGGCACTATATTTATAGAAATTAGAGATTTATTTTATGAATCATACATATCTACCTTCAATGACTCAGATCAAACAGGCTCTTGGTCATTTGCATGCTCTCTGAAATGGATCCACTGTTCTGTGCTCTTACCTGATAGCTCCATGAGAGCAGCAGGATTTTTGTGCTGGGATCATCAGCCGTTGACGACACTTTAATGAGAATGGATTCCACCATCACAGTGCCATCTGGGAGGAGCTGGATGCTGTACTCTTTCAGAACGCTAGTGGAGAAAAGGACAGAAGTCAACAAGACATCATAGTGTGATCTCATTAAATCCAAGAAGCTAAGCAAGAGTGGGCCTGGCCATTACCGGGATGGAGACTTCTAAGGAAAATCAGGTTGCTGTAGTGTTTGTAGAGCAATAGGTGGCGCTTTTTCCTCTGGGCCAGAATTGCTACACCAGTGCCCTGATACAGTAACCAGCGACACTATGCTGTAGGAGGTACTGACTTTCAGATGAGATGTTTAGACCTAGGTCCTGACTGGTCATTAAAAATTCCATGACAGTGTTCGTAAGAGTAGGAACATTAACCCCAGGATCCCACATTAATTCTGCCTTGGGATCCTTAAGAATCTGGCCTCCCTAACCCCACCCCGTTAATTCAACTGGTAAGGAATTTCTCAATTTTCCACATCACCAGATCGGTACGGTTTTTTAGGGCTACACAAAGCAGGTTCTCTTCTATATGTAAAGCACAAGTAATTTTGAACTGGATGTATTTTAATTAAAAAAGCTCAATGGCCGTCCATAAAAAGGCCAGAGTGAACCAGCTTACTGAGATCAATCTCAATTCAAAAATATAAAACAAACAACAGGGACTTCAGTGGATTGTATATGTATTCTAGACGTTCTCTAGTATAGCTAAACACATGAACTTGTTAACACCTTATCCTGGTGCTCACTCAGTTTTAATTGAATCTGGGATAGGAAGCTATCAGTCACTGTAAGCCTTCTGTTTCCAGCCAGACTTATCTCCAACAGTGCTGTGAATGTTAATACAAATCCACGATTTTCACAGGACCCTGATTACGATAGCAATATAACAGCATATATAAAATAATAACCAGTATAATAATCAGTGGGTGGAAGATCCACTGTCCAGACTATGTGCATTGAAACAAGATTAGAATATAATCTAAAAGCTGCACACCATCCAGTTATTGTTTCAAAATACTGCACACTTCTAGAATTACAGGTTCAAAAGATTATCAATATTTTTGTTTTAAGGTATGACATGATTACTTTGCAGGGACTTTCTTGTTCAATTTGTTCAGTTCAGCGTTGTTTTTTGCTGCAAAGCAATGCAAAAGTCACTGCGCTCTTTACTAAAACCTTCTGAATCATTTCACGTTCTTCAAGAACTCGGACTTCAGGGACAGAACGGTGCTGGCAATCAGAAGGATCACGGTCATGGTTCTGCAAAGATGCAGGTGCTGAGATACCGTGTTTTTTTCCTACCCACTATGTCACATGAAATTAGCTTTTAGCTTTCTACGATATCATCCCGTCCATCTACTGACTTTCTAACAGAGGAACAGGAGCCTATCGCAGCAATGGATAAGATAGGACACAGCCTGGATGGGATGTGGGTCCATCTCAGGGGACACACAGGCCCAATTGTCCCAGAAGCTTTAGAGTCCTACCTTGACTG